CCGTGTTATTATATTACACTGTGTGCGAACAGGTACAACACGAACCAACACGAATCGCCCCCGAGGGTGAAAAAAAAAATAATAACTTTTATAATAACGACTGATGATGGTTTTGGAAACAATTTTTTTTTCTTTCCCGATACCCTGGCACAACTGCGGGTCATCCGGCAACGTCGCATAGTTCAGTGTGTAACGGGTTAACGTAACGGTTCGGTAGGTATGCGAGGCCGCCGCGGTCGTCATTGACGGGTTTTGGCTGTACAGTAACATCATATTATATGTACCTACGTAGACATAAACCTATACTCGCGCGTCGGTCATCCATCGCCGCTTTGGTTGGTTTTGTCGCGGTTTTACAAAACTGTTGAGCTTTCGTGGATTATAATGAAAATCATTCACGACGCCATCAACGGCAGTGAACGATCCGATTTCGACGGAATATCCGAAGACGGACACCGCAATAATATGAGTTTGAAACTTCAATTTTCCGCCAAAACTTATACATGACGTGAAAGACATCACCGGAAATTCTCGTCGTAAATTGATATTATTATTATTGTTGTTACTATAATTATCACTATTATACGATTAACACTCGGGGGAGTCGTGATGTAATAGTATATATACTGTAGAGAATACTGCAGCGGTCGTGCGTAATGAATTGTGTTTCGCCATACCCTCATGCGAGATCAACTGCGAACCAATGCGATAACGAACCGCGAACACCGTAAAAATAAATACTTTACGCACGTGCGGATCGATCGCCGGCGTCTAGAACACTAGACTGACAAAAGCGATCGTCATCCCTTTTATTTTTAATCACTATATTATCATCAATATATTATGACCGCGGGATGTAATTATTCCGCCCGTAATGTGCGAACCCGATTGTTATATTGTCGGCAACAATAATTTCGTTCCGAGCGAATTCGTGGCGAGAATAATGTTATACTATGATGTCGCGGTCTCGCTATCATGGCGATATATTTATGTTACTTATTATTATTTATATTTTATGCGTATAATAATATAGTGTTATACATTTTATAATATTGCTCAGACAGAAAAAAAAACTGATTTCCTCGTATAATATAATAATATGTAGTCGCATATAATACGAGTACGGAAATCCGACTTTTTTTTGCGGCGCCGGCGCAGTTCCTACCTAAATAATTATAGTAGGATAATATAGCCATGACTGACGACCCGTGTACAACGCAGACAAAAAACGATTGTAATCGACTGTTCGAAGATGGACCGATGTACGACACCCGTGGTTGCGATATTCGTTAAAAAAAACAATATTTTTGTTATTATTATTAATATTTTTTAAACCAATATCGCCTGTAGACATACAGTTAGATTGTCAGTGGGTCAAAAATATGGGTCTATTTCGCTTACCACAAACGCATTCGTGATACCACATAACGGACTATATTGTTGTTGTTTTAATGTTTTAGACGTCGCAGTTACGTGGTTATTTTATCTATGCGTTTGTTCCGGAGTCCTTCAAACAATTGGTTTTTTTTCTTTTCATCTACCTAATAGTTTATAGTATGTACCTAACTAGATACCGTCTCGTGTGCAATAGCCAGGTATATTGAGAAAGTGAAGTTATCGATAATAAACTTTTATTTATGATCAATGGTGGTAATATTGTATTTTCCGTCTATTTAGCTACTTACAAAATATATATATTGTAATAATTACGACATTACGTTTAGTGCAGTTATTGTAGATAGGAAATCGGTGGTTTGGAAATTTGTCCAATGCTATATTACATTATACCGAATCGTTACGTAGAATAAAAATGAAAAATCTAAAATTGCTCGGCAATCTTCATTATTGCAATTATGGTTCACTCTGAAAGTGGCCGTTTGGTTTATATTTTAATAGCACAATTTTAATGTGGCTTTATAAGTATTTTTAAGTTTCCAATAGCTAGGAAAACAATTGCCTTATTTTTAAAAACCATTAAACTCATCTTTAAAACTATTTTAAATGCTATAAATTCAATATCTAAAAAAATAACATAAAATATGAAGAATTACGATTTTTATTTGAATAGTTTATAATAATTCTTCAACAGCTGACTGTATTCTACTTCAATCAAGTCGCAGTAACCAATTTATAACAGTTTCTGTATAAAAGTTATGTAATTATGTGTAACACACTGATACTGTAATAAACTATTATATTAATATAGCAATATTATATATTAGGTATGTTTATTATTTTAACCTTATAAATTATTTCCACAATATAAATAATATCGAAATAATATTAGGTATGTTTGTTATGGTTACATAAAATGATTTTATTCATTTGAACCTCCTTTGGTATTTTTATAATTTATTATTGACTATTGTATTTGTTATATTCTTGACAGTTGACGTCATAATATTTCATGTGTATTAGCAGGGCTGATTTGCAAAGTTGTTAAAAACTTAACGGCGTTTGTCGAAAATCCGATATAATAATATAGTAACAGGTACTAGGAAACAATAATGTGGTTCATACTACCTACATCATATTATACATGTTATGCCTTCCGATTTCTTTTCGGTGATGATATATTATGCAGTTTTACCGTGGAACGGATTAACGCAGTGTAAAGCTATGTTCGCCACATGCACGTTCGAAATATAATATTAATTAAATATGCATTTCCCGTGTATCGCCGCAGCAAGAAAGCGTAAACCAAGTGAATAAAAAGTATATTAAAAATATTTACATTATGATAAAACGTGCGTGCGGGCGCGGGCATTCGCAGTTCATATTATTGCTCGGCCGAGAGAAAGTGAATTGAACGCCCGCCTGCATACACACATCTATATAGTATGTAACATCACCCATTATGTGGCAATAGTTATATGCGTGTATAGACATCTAGATCCGGGATACGTAAGCACTAAGCCCACGATTATTTATAATATATTGTACAGTCGTGTACGTCTTATAATACATACGAGCGGAGTGGGTATAATATTATATATACAGGGTATGTCTGAGCCGCTAACCCCCCAGTTTTTCTTTGGTAGTGAAAATATTCTGATTTTTGGAATTTTTTGGTAGGTACACTCAAGGACGATATTTTCAAATAGGTAGATGCCTAAGTAGTGGTCCGCGCCCTATGGAAATATAAACTTTTTGTTTTTAAATGCTAGTCACCCTTTTTTACTGTAAATGATTAGGGACATTTTTTTTGTTATGGATGTTAATTATTGCAATTTAAAATGTATTTTTTGAATTACTTAACTTAAAGTACTCCCATAGTCCATGATAATAGATTAAGAAGATATGGGTGGCTATGCTAATTTTAAAATTGTAGTGGGTTATTATTTATTAATATGTAGTGTGCTGCAGTAAATTCAAATTGTAGGTATGTTTTTTAAACATTGTTCAAGTACCTAAATAATAAGTTCTAGATTAATATTAAAATTATATATTTTATATAAAACCATTACCAAGTAATATTATTGTCCTTTGTAGATAAAGATTTATAACTCAGAAACCATACCTATTGATTTTATTTTAGTTAGAAAAAAAGGTGATTCTCATTTGAAAAAAAATATTGTTTTACCATAGACTATAGAATAATCTCTAAATTGTAAAAAAAGCTATGTATTTTTTTAATAATATGGTTAATAAGTGTATATAAAAATTCCAAAGCCTTTAATTTTGATACAAGCATTGTTAAATGATAGGGAATGGGTGAGCATGGTTTTCGAATCACACTGTATATGTATAAATGTATTTTAATTAATATTATATATGTAGATAGATATGGCCATATGGGGGGTCTCCCTCCTGTTGTTGCAGGCAGCGGACGACGATGACGCTTTAGTTGCGGTGACATCGCATGCTACAGTATGTGAAAGTATACGTGTCGTTCGTAGGTGCCGAATTGTATGGGGGAAAAATGTTTATAGATAAAGAGTAAACACTAAAAGTTGGTGAAAGCGCTACGAGACGCCCACTATGCATATAAAATACAAAGTATACTCAAGTGGCAAGTCCGATTAATAATAATTCGCTTGTTTATACATTTATATTTTGATTACGCAATTTCAAGTCGGACGTGAGAGTTATCTGAAATCGACGACCGCGCATTAAATTATATTATAACTGAAACAACTGCAGCGGATTACGTACCCATATAATGATACACGGGAGTGGTGACTCAATACTTAATTATTGCCGGCCGTATATAATATATTTTGTAACACTCGTTTGAGGGATTAAAGACGATCGTGCGATTTTTACGTGTGGAATTTCCGTTTACGCATTTCATTATAAGATACACCAATTATAGCCACGATATATATAATGCACAGAACGGTAAAACGGTAGATCGTCACTCGTGTCAGGGCACTAAAGATTTGCAGATTACGTACATAGTCTTTTTTTTTTATCAATAAACAAACACATGATTTCGTCAACTATACAGAACACTATCGATACATCTGACTCCTTTAAGCACAGCCTGTGATAAACATATAGAGTAGGTAACAGAATTCACATTTTTAATAAATTCAGAATATAAATTGCAATGCTGTTCGAATTACAGCCCGAATGGTAATTTAGAAAATGTATCTATTCTATACGCTTTATTGCAGTCCTTATTCAGGCTGAGTATCACGCGTAAAAGAAATGGTGCCTTTTTTGTTTTAATAATATAAATTTAAATTATCGCATTTTATTACTAATGCAAATTATATTATCGTGTATGAATAAACAATAAACGCATAGTTTATTATTGTTTGGGAAAAAATAGGATTATAATATGACTTCAAATATTGAAATGCAATATAATTTTGAAGTCAGATCTCACAGTAAACTCAAGTAGGATATATACTAGATGTCCTCGTAGGGCGATAAGAGAAATCAAAATGATAAGTTCCCCTCCCCGTCTTTACCTCCACTAACACTCTTATTACTATTCTTGCAATAATCAATGACGTCATATGTATGTACTTATCGTACGGTTTGTGTTTCAGGTGTGGCATGCGGCGAAAACGACAGCGGACGTTCAGATGAAGTAGTGAGGGTTATGCGCAGGCGGCATCTGGACGAGGCTACCAAGACGGGTCAAGAATCGAATGAGATCGACGACGATCACCATAGGCGGGCTGACATGTCACTGACCCGGGCCGAAGAATTCAAGTCGACCGCGGCGGCCTGCGGCGGCGGCTCGTGCGGTGAAATGCCGGAAAATACGGAATCGGCTGCGGCAGCTGCGGCGCTGCACGACGACTCTCAACTGATCGCGTCGTCTGCCGTCCCGTCGTCTATGGCGGACGAACAGACGTCCCAGTCACAATACTATTACGAATACGTTGGGCCGACAAAGATCGGTTCGGGGGAAGCCAAGAGGGCTTCGTCGCGTGGCAGATCACTCGTACCGACGGAGCCCGATACTGCAGCGCAACAGCCGCCGCAGATACGACAACAGCAGCAGATGGATGTGGCGGCGGCGGTGGCAGACCGTCAGCAGACCCGTAAAGCTGGTAACAGTGACATGGAAGACATACTGGACGGGTTCGTTAAGCTACTGAATGGTCAGCCCGGTCAAGCTGGTTACCGACAGCCGATCAAGACGCGCATCAACAACCGCGGACCTCCCCGCATATCGGACGCTTCGGTTGTCCTGGAACCGCCGGCGTTTGTGCCTATGCCGCAACACCAGCACCAGCAACAGCACCAACAACAGCACCAGCAACAGCTACCACCACAGAACAAGCCGAAAGACCCCCCACCGTATCCGTTCGACGTGCCACAGCCTGCCAGGCCACTGCCACCTCAACCGCCCAACCTTATCAAGCCGTTCTTGACCGGAGTGCCACTGCCCGAACAGCTGGTGCCCACCAATGGTGGTGACAACGACGACGAGTTGGGCCCACCATCTCTGCAGTACGAAGACGACGTATCGCATTTGCCATCGTCGTCGAGACGACCGGTGCAGCATCAGCAGACAGCCAGGCCACAACAGGAGTACGACTTGTTTGCGGACGGACATGCGCACGGCCCTGGCCACGTGGTGCCAGCCGCTTCCAGACCTGTCGAAAATGTGACGGAAAAGTTTACGGTGGACGCGCCTTCGTCTCAGTCACCGCCGCCCTCTGACAGACCGGCCGCGATCACTGTCTCTGAGAAACCGACCACGACCGACAAACCATGGTCAGCTATCGACATCAACGCGACCCGTGTGATCGGAATCCAAGTGTCAAAACTCGTCGATCACTTGACCTCACCGGTGGTTCCCTCATCACCTATCGGAGTAAGCGATCCCACCGCAGCCGCCTCCGCTGCCGCACCCACGACGACGACGTCCACTACTACCACCAGCACAAGCACCAGCACCGCGGCGGAATCAACGTCCACGACGACAGTCGCGCGACCGGAAACCACGCCGGCTGGCGAACACGTGACCGGCGTCGGTTCGGCGGTCGTAGTACTCGAGCCGTCCACTTCGGAGGAACCTCATCGCGACGATGCGCATAAGCCGACCGAAAACAAACTCCCCAGCAAGCCTACAGCGCCCGTCAAGAAGACCCCGCAACAGTCAGGTAACTATCACATAGTCGTTATAAGTTTACATAATGACTAATGAGTTTGTTTGAGCGAGGTTAAGAGGAAAGTCGCCTCCCCACTCTTGGGCCGAAGCTGGGAATTTTTCTAAGTATAGAAATTACTGTATAGCCATACAGTTCTTATTATATATAAGTAAAATACTGGTCCCAGATCGTCATTGAAGATTAAAATAAAACATGATATGATGGGTGTAGAGAACTAATTTTTAGTTTATTACTATAGTAATATACATGTGTGTGTGTGTGTGTGTGTGTGTGTGTGTGTGTGTGTGTGTGTGTAATTAAATGTTAATAATATGATTTTTACAATCTAATTGGTACCCATAAAAAATAAATTGTTAAGAGTGGAAAAGATTTTTTACGACTTAAAATATTAACAATTTGAATAAGATAACCACATCTTATTGATAATATATTCAATAAACATACACGTTAAATATAAAATAAATTCAGCTAAATTATTGAAAAGTTACATTATTTTTGTAGGTATACCTATATAGATAACGTAATTACATTTTAATTAATATCATATTAAACAAATCATTTAATCATTATACATAATATACTCATTACTCATTAGTCATTAGTAATACAACACATTTACTGAATACATCAGGTATATAAATGTATAATTTATTTTATTTTATTAATTATTTATTGTAAGATATTTAGTATAGAATATGTACTAAACAATTAAGAAAACATCATACTATAGAATATAGAATATAACATTCTAACAATTTTGTCATCATGACGACGTGAAATATACACGTTTGGCTTAGGTATACCTCTTCTTTTTCGCATCTCATTTACTAAAATCGTTGTTTCGTGTAACGGAGGTATTATGTTCGCGTTTGTACACGTCTGTGGAAAGTATTAAAAATGCATATAATATGTATAACATAAATTTCTTTACATTATGTGGACCTGAAATTGAGTACACGTAGGCTACATCAAACCTTTATTAGGTCCAACACTTTTTCAAAAATGTGAAGTATTCCACCCGTTCCAATAAAAATGAATGCATTATTATTGTTTTTGAAATGTATGAAATTCTTAGTAATATAATATTGTAGGGTTCAACATCCGAGGTAATGCGATATTGGCCACATATGCAGGACTGGATAGCCGCACTTAGTCCGCCCAATCCAGCCAGCGCACATTACACATAAATAAAGATTATATAATATAATATCATTATCGTTATAGTTATATACTATATACACAATTAAATTATAATTATGAGTTTGATGTTTTTTTGATTTATGCCAATGAGTAGATACACACTTTTTGTCATTTTGTACGATTTATAACTTAAAACGAATTGCTATAACAATTCGATTATATTAATATTATAATGGTGGATACTTTGTCGACTATAATCGGAAAATAATGTTTTCGCAGAAGGGTTCCCGTATTATTCACGTCCAGGGATCGTGCTGGATGATCCGGAATTCAAACCCCACATCGGAGGCCAGAGACGCCCCATCCAAGTTCAGGTGCCCAGTAAAGGTGACGTGTTCGACATAATGGTGTCCGCCATTCAAGGGCCGGGTGACAAGCCAGCACTGCTGAATCGTAAGCGAACATTTGTGTATTATTAATATTAATGTATAATCAATCACTAAACATTTAATAAATTAATAGTGAGCTAATGGTTCCTCAAACATGATTTAGTAGACCATGATTATTGATTGGTACATTTTATTTTAAAAGACCATTAGATTAACCCTATTTTTTATGCGACCCGACATAAAAGTTACAACAATTGTGCAAAATTTGGAAATTTGTACATGAACTAATACTGTAATGTTAATACTGTAATGTTAAATAAATGTTTATCGAGCTCAATTACTTCTACAAAGTACAAAGCATCAAAGAACACGAGTGACGGTGCATTGTTATTAAGTTTAATAGGTACTTCATGACAACTGATGACATAGTGCACCAGATTTACAAAATCGATATTCTAAAATATTCGAGATATACGATTAGTCACTGTTTTCGACAATTTAGTTGACTATTTAGTCATTTCTTGCAATAAATTTCGTAGATTCAATCAGATATATTATATCATACTATTATTTATATCGATGTGCTTCTTGGATTTTATTTTAGCTGATGAAATATCACCGTCAGGCGTCGGAAAAGGAGAAGTGTCCGTGATAACGTCGGCAGAACCAAACCAGCAGTTCGTGTCCATCGACGGTAAACGAACGTACATCAACTTGTTCGGCTCAGCGGAACCAACCGCGGTGGCGCCTCAGTCCATAAAGCCGACCAGCGCTGCTTCCGGGTGAGTGTGATTTCTATATTAAATGATATAGCCTTAAGTGTTTGTCATTAGGTATGATTTTATTCATTCATTCGGTGATTTTATTTGTTTGTTTTTTGAATCTTATAAATAGCCACATGCACGCACTGCCGCCGCAAAGTACCAATATTTTGTAATCGACTTAGGAATTTATGCATATTTGAATTTGTTTGGGAAGTTAATAGAAGAAATCTGATTCGAAATAAATTTGTTTCATGGTGTTTAGATTTCATTTTTTTTCATATCTCGATTTTTTATAAATTATAAGATAATAATATCCTATTAATTTATATCCAACATAATTTTCGAATGACAAATTAATATTTTTGTACTGTTTTTTATATTTGACGCTCTATATAAAAATATATTTGACATTTTAAACTAAACATCTAAGTATTTTCTCTATTCTCAAATATTATTGACTAGAAATTAACTAGAAAAAAATTATAAATGATATTTTAAAACTTCTTCAAGTGCATATATTTAAGTTTTTTAGGGCATAAAATCCCGATTCCTGGTGACCTGGTTATTATAAATAATATACTGTAGGTATACATATGAGTATACCAGCCTCACTGATAAACAGGCTGTTAAATTAATTGTTCATTAGTTCTAAATTAAACGAGCAAAGTTTATAACGGAATGTGAATTGTCGACTAATTAGTAAATTAATAATTACTGTATGAATATAATATAATTCGTAGCTATTATTATGTATACGGACCACGGTAAATTAATAGATACCATGCTATATATCGTTTAGTGATAGTAATAACGTGCACGTGTACAAATGTGATGGTTGTTTTTAATTTATTTCCCGGTGGAATAATGATCGTTGGGATACTTTCTCTCGAGATGGTCTAAAAATAATCTCCGAGGTCCTTAAAAAGTATTCCGACCCAAACTTGTAGTCGACCGTACCAAATATCTCATCGCGTTGGCGCTATAAAATATCACAGTTACATATTATTATTAAGTATTATTATAACGATTATAATACGAGTATATCGAATGAATAATAAAATATAGATACTTTATAATTGTGTATATAATTACTGTTCATAAGACGTACGACTGTTCTATAGACATAAATAGGACAGAAGAGGGGACTCGGGAACATACTTACACGGTTTATTCAATTTAGTCCCTATATAATATGTCTTTTAATCGACTCTTATTATTTTATGAATTTAAATTGTTACTGAATAACAATATCAATGTAATATATTAATATTTAATTAATATTCAATGTATTGTATCTGTTATTCGTCTCTCGTACTTCTGTTACCTATACGTATAATCGTCATAATATAACTTTTATATCAAATAAATAAATATATACCTATAATTGAACTAAAAAATACACTTTAAAAAAATGAGCGGTCCAGAGACGCCTATCAAATGTGAAACATTGACTTTACTTTGAACAGAAAATATGCATACAAATTGAAAAACAGGTTTATTAAAGGAAATAAACATGGCATAATCAAAAACAAAATATTCAGATTTTTTAAGGAAAAATTGTTCTTTATTTTAAAGGGGCATTAGGTGTTTTGCGCTTGTACCTACTGTGGTTTAATGTTTGTTGTCGTGTTTTCGGTTTCAGATCATATTCAGTGAGCCAAGTGCTGCAGCCGCATGGTGCGTCCAATCCACCGGGACCGCCTCCACCGTCACCGCCAAGCGGGGGCAAACCGTCGGCACCGGCCTGGAAACGGCCCACTCACCCGCCAGTGAGAATCGACACTTGTATAGTGGGCGACGATACGACGTGTGATGCGGCGCAGCATGAAAGGTGCCGCACCGAGCTTGGCGTGTCCTCGTGCCTCTGCAGGCCCGGGTACAGCAGGCGAAAGCACCGGGACCCGTGTCACAGTGAGTATTCAGTGTTTTCTCATATTTGCCCTATTAATAAATTATTATCTAAGTATAAGTATGTTCGAATTTTTTTTCAAATCATTGACGTTAAGTACACCGCCGTAATATTATAATATCCATCTCTGTTGCCAAACGAATTCGTACCACTAAATGTTCGGCTATACAGATTGTACTACACGAAGATCAGAAGTTCTGACAATATTCCTTGTGTGTGACCTTAGTGTCGGGTAACCATCACTGACCATTCGAGTTTAAAAGGAGATGATTCCTTTTTCCAGAATCATATCCAGTTGTCCAAATACACGTCTAACGGGGCGCTTTTCGTCCAATTTTTAGAAGATTGTCCCGTCCTAATATTGTTATATCTATAACATTTTGTTTAAAAGAGAATAATTTTGCTCAAACAAATCTAAAACAATATTTTTACAGCTGCATAACATTACACAGTGTGTTATAATGGACGAATCCGCACGACCGTCATCATTTCTGACAATACTCCTCGGCTATAGCACCGGGGTCTTATTTCCAAAACATCTTAAAATATAATTTTATTAAACAGTTTTTAGATTTTTGTTCCGTTTTTATTTTTCATATAAAATAAAATGGTAATCCTAGATATGAAAAGACCTCGTTGTAAATATGACTTTTTT